CCACATCACTTTTGATAAGAGTTATAATTATTCAAAATTTTGACCCTTAGTGGTGGTACTTGATAGAGTGGACCGATATTGTCCATTTTCGCACCTGACCTAGCACTTAAGCAAATATTACGATTCGCAAAGTTCGAGCAAAATCGGATCATCCTTTCTCTTTCTGTGCAGAAAATATATTTTTTGCAAACTTCGACCTTTTGTGGGGGAGGTACTTGATGGAGTGAACCGATATTGGCCATTTTTGCACCTGACCTTGCGCTGTTGCAAATATTAGGTTTTGCAAAGATGGGGCAAAATCGGATAATTCTTTCTCTTTCTGTGCAGAAAATATATATTTTTTTTGGAAAATTTCGGCCTTTTGTGGGGGAGGTACCAGAAGGAGTGGACCGATATTGCCCATCTCCGAACTCGATCTAAGTTTGACAAAAATATTACGATGTACAAAGTTTGGACCAAATCGGGTACTTCCTTCGAGAGTTATCGTGCGTACCAGCCAGACAGACAGACAGACGGACGGACGGACATAGCTAGATCGACTCCGAATGTCCTGAAACGGATTTGGTCCAAAGAGACCTAAGGTCTAAAACCGTTATTTCGACTAGGCACGTTTTGACCGTATCAAATGATATATACCCTCTGTAGCCATATGGCTGAGGGTATAATAATTTCCTGATTTTGCAGCTGCTCTACAGATCACTATTATATATATAAATCGACCCAGAATTTTGCATGGAGTTAGACTTAAGGGCTGGGTAGAAGCCTAAAAATTCATATTTAGTGGGGAAAAGTTATGGTTCAAATTTTATGTAAAAACTACGAAAATTTCCTAAATCACGCATATTTTTAACCCGGCCAAATCATAAACACATTAAAAGGTCACTTGTGATGCTAATAGCCACGATATGGAATATACTGCAACCAACTTCAGACTGCTGTCATTTCTAAGTCACTCGTTCGACATCTGTTAAAATTATTCCAGTGACAGTGAGAATTTTCCAGAAAAAAGTTATTCGTGATGGAATTGAAGCATGATTTCTTTTTATTTGGCACTCCAGCATTTAAATGTGAACAAATGTTTTGCGTATTGTACCATCGCTCGTTACCTGGTACTGGTAGCGTAGCCTGACGTCAAAGAAGTGTACGGAGGAAAACAACAACATCAGCGGAAATGGTTCGAAAAGTAACGAAGCGACTTGATCGAAACCCGCGTCGCAGTAGCCAAAAAATGGCTCTTGAGCTGAACATATCGCAATATTCCATTCGGCAAATATTGAAAAATGTGCTCGGGGTAAAGCCATTGAAGTTCCAAAAAGTGCAAGAACTTACACCGCAACAGAAAGAACCAAAAGACTCAAAAGAGCTAAAGAGTTGCTTCGCTTGGCCGAAAGCGGTGAACTGCCGAATTTGGTTTTCTTCGATGAGAAAACATTCGTTGTCCAGCACTTTGCAAACAAACAAAATGAACTCAAGCGCCGGCCATGGTGATTATGTGGGCCGCATAACAGCCGATGGTCGCTCTCCGCTCGTATTAATCGACCGTGGCATCAGAATAAATGCCGAATAATATTCTTGAGGGTGTATAAAAGCCTTGGGCACGCAACAACATTTCGCAAAACATTTTAGCCGAAGTCCTTGGACATTCCAACAGGACTCAGCACGCGCCACACAAAAATAGTTACAAAATGAGGTCCTCGCTTCATTTCCAGCGCACAATGGCAACCAAAATCTCCGTCTACCAACCCATTGGACTATTATGTCTAGAGTATTTTGGAAAGCAAGGTTGGTACTAAAAAATACCAAAGTGTCGATCACTTCAAGCAAGCGCTTCGCCGGGAATGGGTCAAAATACCGCAGAGCAACATTCGTGTGTAGCGTGTAACGGTTTCATTGGCCGTTTGAAGTCCTTAATTCGTGCCAAAGGTGACCAATTCGAACAAATGTAAATTTATTCTAAAATTTGATGTTTTTTTCCGACATTTTTGCTTTTATTCAATATAATTAAAAAAAAATGTAAAAATTATAGGGCTTGAGTTTGCAGTTTTTTTATCCCACCCTGCCCCGGTCGAAAACCAAAGGTAACATTTTGGGCAGAACTGTATAGCGTTATTTAAAAAAAATCGATTAAAATGGGTTTGGACCTAAGGAGGTTTTCCAATATATTGTAGTGTTGAGGGTATCACATGGTCCGCCTCGGTATCACATGGTCCGCCTCGCATGACCATAGGTTTTTCTTACTTGTTTATTTATAAAGTTGTGCATTTTTGGTGGTGGGGTTCCAGAGAAGGTGGACAAATATCACCCTTATACGCATTTGATCTATGTTTTGTAAAAATATTACTTCATACCTAGTTTGGACTAGCCAACAAGTCACACGAACTGTCTTCAAATGGATTTCGTCCAAAGTGACCTGGTAGGTTAACCGTTATTTCGATGGGGCACATTTTTGGCTGTATCAAATTATATACTCCCTCTGTAGCCATGAGACTCATGGTATGAAAATAGTAAATATATCCGTATTTAAAGTAAATTTCTACCTCTTCCAAACAAACAAAATCGGCCAAGTCCAATTTTAAATTCCGACTCTGCAACCCAGGTCTAAGCATACAGGCAAATATTTTCGGAACCTGACCTGATTTGCCAAGAACAATTCCAAACAAAATTTAGCCAACGAAATTATACATTCAAAACAAATTAATAGGTGACAAAGAAATTTAATGCTTTGTTTCATTGATGCTTTAGGTCATCAAAAACCAGTTAAAATCTTCTGCCAGACACATTTCACAGAATCTCTTTCATAGTACAGCATGGTCTAAAAATACACACATAAAACGGGGAAATCCTCTGCTTGGAAATCCCTAGTAAAACAACAACAAATTTTGTTACGCACACAATCGCCCACCAGACGACGTAATGATTCTTATCTTCAAAAAAAAATTGAACAACAACAAAAATTTGTGAGGAAAAAAAGGTGGCAAAGTATTAGCATAAACCGCAAACGAGACTTGCTAAGCCACTTACTTAACAGAGTTAGCCACAGTTAACAGAGCTAAGCTCCATAACAGTCTTCAGCAATGTAAACCACAACAGCCGGCCGAAGTGAGACAGAGAAACGAACGCACAGTCGCATAGAGCACGACAATTTCAACGAACAGCCCAGCACAAGGCGCACATGAGCATTGAAAGCATTTTTTTTTTGTGTTTCCCTAGACAAAAAACAGATTTCTTTAAGACGAAATGTTCAAAAAAGGAACAACGACAACAATCACACCACATCACACAGCCAAGTTGTAGCAACAAAAAGTTTATATAAATCAGACTTCGAATGGTAAACAAAACAGTTGCGCGCTAAACGTTCGTTACTTACATTCAAAAACCTACAACCAAATCCAAAAAAAACCAGTAAGGAAAGCTCAAAAGTCGGGCGGGGCCGACTATATGATACCCTACACCACTATGCATATTTAGTAGAGCTCTCGTAAAAAGGTTTATACAGGGCATTTCAGAGCTCTATGAGATATTTGGTACAAAATCAAAATCTATCTAATTCTATCGTGCATTTTACGAACTATAGCTATCTCTGAGCCGGGTTTCTCCAAATTTTACGTATTAGCTTCTAGACTGAATTCGGTCTTATGTACGAAAATTCAGGTGATTTGGGCTGATATTGACCATTTAGTGCACATTTAACCCTAAATCGGATGAAGATATATATGGGAGCTATATCCAAATCTGAACCGATTTTGATAAAATTTAAAACAGCTATTCCTGTGCTCCAAAAAACCTGGTACCAAATATCACGGTTGTGGAGTGAATATTTCGAATGTATGGGACTAAAACACTAAATCGGATGAAACATATATATGGTTGCTATATCTATATCTGAACCGATTTTCACTAAAATTGATATACTTGCTTCTAGGCTGAATTTGGTCCGATGTACTAAAATTCAGTCCATTTGGACTTATATCGGCCATTTGGTGCACAATTAACCCGAAATCGGATGAAGATATATATGGGAGCTATATCCAAATCTGAACCGATTTCGATAAAATTACAAACAGCTATTTCTGGGTTGTATCTTATATCAGGTACCAAATATCATTCTTGTGGAGTGCATATTACGAATGTGAGAGGCTTAAACACCAAATCGGATAAAACATATATATGGGAGCTATAGCTGTTTCTGAACCGATTTTCTCCAAATTTGTGGTATTTGCTTTAAGGCTAATCTCGGTCACATGTGCCAAAATTCGGGCCATTTGGGCTGATATTGGCCATTTGGTGGTCAATTAACCCAAAATCGGATGAAGATATATATGGGAGCTATATCCAAATCTGAACCGATTTCGATAAAATTTAAAACAGCTATTTCTGTGCTCCATCTAATACCTGGTACCAAATATCACGGTTGTGGAGAGCATAGTAGGACTGTGAGGGACTTAAAGATCAAATCGGATGAAAGATATATATGGGAGCTATAGCTATATCTGAACCGATTTTCTCCAAATTTGATATACTTGCTTCTAGGCCGAACTCGGTTGGGTGTGCCAAAATTCAGGCAATTTGGACTGATAGTGGACATTTGGTGCTCATTTAACCCGAAATCGGATGAAGATATATATGGGAGCTATATCTAAATTTGATCCGATTCTCACCAATTTCAATAGGGTTCGTCCTTGGGCCAAAAAAATATTGTTTGGAAAATTTCATCTCAATCGGATAATAAATGCGACCTGCATTTTGTTCACAAGAATACATGGACAGACGGACGGACGGACGGACGGACGGACGGACGGACGGACGGACGGACGGACGGACGGACGGACGGACAGACGGACGGACATGCATAAATCGACTCAGAAAGTGATTCTATGAAGGTTCTCAAAAGTAACTATGGGTCTATCTCGTCTCCTTCTCCATGTTACAAACAAATGCACAAAGACATAATACCCTTACCACTATGTGGTGTAGGGTATAAAAATCGTTAATGGTTTTTCGCCACTAGAAGAAGAAGAAGGAAATTGGATTAAAATCATATATAGTTTCTAACCTCAAAGGATATTTGGATTATAGAGTGTCGAATAGAAAAGGATATTAAAATAAAATATTAAATTTGAAAAAAGAGTGAAAGTGAAAAAGTGCTGCAAAATGAAGTGTCTTCTAGTTGGCCTATTGACATTTGTGTTGTGCATCCAATTCGGCAATGCTGCCTACAAATTGCAAGAACGTTTCAATTGGAAACAATTGGATTTTGCTTTTCCCAATGAAAATCTAAAACAACAGGCTTTGGCCAGTGGAGATTATATTCCACAGAATGCTTTGCCCGTAGGTGTTGAACATTGGCAGAATCCATCCACTATTTGTTACCATACCCCGTTGGAGAGATGGTAAGTTTGGGAGCTTACGGTGTGGATGTGAATGAGAGTGTGTGAGAAGATGAACAGAAATCAAAAAGGACAATCAGTAAAAATTTTGAAAATAAGTATATAAAAAACTGTGCATCAATTAAAACCAAGACTTACAAAAAAAATAAACAAATAAATAAAAATAAAATATGGATGCAATGATTTATTTTTTTTAATTACATAAAAGTGAATTAGTGAATTATTTCTACACAAATTGTCAAATATATATATATATTAAGTAAACTTAGGAAAAAAAGGCTCTGATTTAAATAAAAATTAAACGGATTCGCTAACAAAGAGAATTAGAAAGTTTTAAAAAATCTTCAATTAAAAAAAATCAAATTATTGTGAAATTCGCGATTAAAATCAAAAATTAGTAAAGAAAATAAAAGTTAACCTATTGGTGAAGACAAGAATCCCATTTCAAAATGAGCAATATATCCAAAATAATAAAAATGTACTAAAGTTCTTCAAAGAAAGAAATGACACAAATGAAAAAAAAAAGGATTGCACAAATATGAAATAGGATGGGTATGGAGAACTATTTCCTATGCATAATATTTTTTCCCAATGTCAAATAGCGACTTTCTGAGAGAAGATAAAAGTCACATACAAATGTTTGTAAGAATAGGGGAAAATACCGAAATTCAGTTAGTCGCAAAACTATGGAATTAATACTATTTTTATATTTCCATGGAGGGTATATTATGTTTTCCGTTTGTAACACCAATACATTTTTGTAACAATATACATTTGAAACTCCAAAAAGTGTGTATATTCGGGATCATCATAAAATTCTGTGTCCGTCCGTGTGGAAATTACACTAGCTTCCGAATGGAATGAAGTAGATTGATGAAATTTTAGTCATATGTATATTATGTCTGCAGGACTTTTGGTATTGAAAATGGGCCACATAGGTCCATAGGTTGGTATAGTCGCCATATAATGGTACCTCCCTATTTTCAGTATTTTTGTGATTTAAGCGAAATTATTCACCGGAAATGTTTCAAAAATTCAGAAAATTAGCAATAACGGTATTCGATATTTTTATGATTTTAGTGACATTAGTAACCGGAATTGTTTCAAATTTGGTAATTGAAACAATTCCAGACAGAACATTTTTTGTGCAGGTGCATGTCTTTGTATAGCACCCATATAGCGGTAACTCCTGATATTCGGTATTTTGATGATTTTAGCGACAGTAATAACTGGAATTGTTCGAAATTTGGTATTTGAAGTGCGCAATGGATACTACAGCCTAAGACAGAAAATTGTCTGTACAGCTCCGCGTTTTGGTATAGTCCCCATGTACCGGCACCTCCCGATGCTCGGTATTTTGATGATTTTAGCGACATAAATAACCGGAATTGTTTCAAATTTGGTATTTAAAGTTCGTAATCGATACTATTTATACCCTACAACACTATGTATTGGGGGTATTATAAGTTTGATTGGCCCAAAAATTATGTACCACCTCGAAATATTGGTTTCCATAGGAAAGTATATATGGATCTTCCTATCTCGCCGAGCTGAGTCGATCTAGCTATGTATGTCCGTCCGTCCGTATGTCCGTCTGTCCATGTTAATTTGTAATCACTCTACAGGTCGAAATTATTTCCCGATCCCCACGAAATTGAAAATGGAGGTGGGGTTAAGGTCACAATAGAACCTCATTTCTTTTCAAGATGATCGCATAATATTTAAGGGGTTGAAATGGACCAAAAACTGAAAAATTTCCTGATTTTGCAGTTGCTCTACAGGTCACATGGGGCTAGAGCTTGGGGCTGGGCAGAAGCCTTCCAATTTTGATTATCATCGGGTTATATTTAGTGGGTGAAATAGACCATAACATTTTTGTTAAATAAAAATCAAATTTCCCATTAAACCGCGAATATTTTTAATCCCGCGAAATCACAAATAGACGAACAGGTCAATTCTGACCGTTACGTAGATGCCGATAGTAAATATATCGGATATATATAGCGAAATATATACAATGCTTATATACAAAGGGAGCGGATGTCAGCTATAATGCTTATATCTCAAGAATGGCTGGACCGATTTTGACAAATTTTGTCAATTCAGAATGCCCTCTTGGCATAAAAGGATAAAATCTAAAAAAATCACATAAAAAGATGCCCATAATGATGTTAATATAGATTTTGTGACATTTTAATATTTTTTATCGCATGCGATTTTTTAAATTTGACTTAAAATATTGAAGTGTATATTTTTTTATTTACAACACAGGTTAGGGTCACCATATACAGATTGCAATTATCGTTCGATACTCACGAAAATTTCACAAGGATATGATTAGGCTCAGAAGGGCTAGGCATATTGTTTTCAAAGATGTCCGCAATATATTTAGGGGTTGAAATGGACCAACAACTAAAAATGTTCCTGATTTTGCAGCTGTTATAAAGGTCATAAATAGAAACCAAATGACACGAAATCTCGCATGAAGTTAGAGTTTAGGACAGCGGGTAGAATGGACCACTACTTTTGTGTGAAAAAATACCAACATTACTTACAGGCGATATCCGAAACACACAAGAGGCGGACTTTGGGCTTTTTTGTGCTGATTTCTTCTACGAATATAGCCAAATATTGTAGACAAGCAAATCATATAGATGATTCTAAATTTGAAGATACAGAGGGGCCTCTTGCTTTTAGAGATGATCGCTAAATATGAACCAAAAACAGAAAACATTTCCTGATCACACAATTGAAGCCAATCGACACGCCTGAGAACAGAGTTAAGGACAGGGAAGAATTCTATCATTTCGGATGACCATTGGATTATATTTAGCTGTAAAATGGACCACAACAACTAACAGTATTGACGGAGTGGGTGAATATTGGGCAAATGTCCCTTGTCAAAATGTTAAGGGTAATATCTGGGCAGTGCTCCGTGACATAATTTCAAAAGCGAAATGTTCCAAAATGGATCGGAATGGACATAAGGGGGCTTCTAACATATTGTAGTGTTGTAGGATATCACATAGTCGGTCCCGCACGACTATAGCCTTTGCTTACTTCTTTTCGTATGAAATTTTGCCAGTTCCTTCTGATGGTGGAGGGTATTAAAAATTCTACCCGGACGAAATTAGCTGCTTTTAACATGTTTTATTTTTAAGGCATATAATATATCATTGTTCCTAAAAACATTATTTGGATGTTAGTATTACTGCATATTTGACGCTTGAAATTTAACTGTATAGTTACATAGGAAAAAAAAACTAAACAATTTTAGTTTAGCAAAAACTCTCGGGTTTCTGTTTATGAATTTTTTTCTAGAGAAAGGAAAGTTTTTTTTTTTTGTGGGACAGACCAGGAAATCCGGAGATTTGACCCACAAGTCCGGATCCAAGACCCGAGTTAGATCCGGACCTACACAAAACCAACTTAGAAAAACTGATCAGAATCGGGTTGTTCGGTTCAAAGTCCCGTACCTCGGAATCCAAGAAAGACAATAATACATATTGTAGCATTTTGGATCGATAATAGTGTCAAAAATTTTGTAGATTCCGAAAATGGGGCCTTTTCGAATTTTGGGGGATTTTTAAATAATCCGGGTCTATACAATTTTTTTTCAACTCGTTTTTTAAATAACCCTATCTTGTGACAACTTGCTGGGTAGGTATTGTCCATATCGGTTCAGTAGGTCCGGGTCTAGGATACGGACATTCGGGTCATATATCAAGCTATTCGTGTAAGTTCCCCAAGAAAAAATACATTCCTGGAAAAATACCGTCCCCTGGAAATAAAAACAAAAAACCAAGAGTTTTTAATAATATCCAGTACCCATTGCATTTTGCTGTCCGTTTTGAGTCATTTTCGGATTTCTAAAATTTATCAATGATTTATTTTTTTCTTTTCAAATAAAATTGCCAGACTGTGGAGCGAATGTTTTTTACCCTGTTGTTTTTTTTTTTTTTTTTAACAATTGCTACTTAGATTTTTGTTACCACATTGACATGTGCTAATTAGAATAATGTCTAATACAATGTGCTAGATCATTGACCCAATGAATATGCATATTTCAAACAAAATATGCGCAATTCTGAGTCGGGAATTGGGGTTTTTTTAAGATCAACTAATCTGAAAAATTAGAAGATGTTTAAAAATGTACAATTATTGATGACGTCATTATAATTACACGTGTGAATTGAAATATTTCACATGTAATTGTTGAAGGTAAAAAAATCAATATTGTTTTCTGCGTTTAATTAATAATTCTAAAATATTCTATAATGACTTTCATAATCGATACGGCTGTGAAGGCCAGTGAGTAAAAGAAGCAGTAAAGTTCTTATTGCCATAGTACAATGATGAATGATTAGGCTTTAAATGAACTACAAAATACCAGTTTCTTTATGGCATGCCAGTAGTGACGGTATAAATATAAGCCTTGTCATATGTTAAAGTCATAATAAAAAAGAAATACGTCATATCAAATAATTATGCAAAATGATTGATTTAATTAGTTTCTGAATGACATTATTCTTAAGTGTTCTGGAAATATTTGATATCGTAAATGGAATGTAAAAAAATTGGTATAATGGAAAAGAGAATGTTGGCGGATTTGTTTATGAACCAATAAAAGTTGTAATCACTTCAGTGGACACATATACATACTATGAATCAAATGTGAGTTATAAAGTAGTATACGCCAATTTAATAATGAATGGAGGTAATAAACATAACTTACCTTAAGCCATGCCATTTTAGTGTGCTGAAAGAAACGAAAACAAATCTATTAAGTGCCTGTTTGCGAAAGGAAATAAATTTTTACGAAAAGTACGAAACACTATATTTTCGATATTGAACCCCGGGAAATATTGTTTGATATACCAAATTACAAAATGACTAAAATAGTATCGAGCTGTATTAGATATTGCACCAAAGTTAACAATAAAATTTTTGAAAATCGATTGATTTTCCAAATGCCAGAAAAGAGTAAAGTTTTAGAAATATTT